AAACATACACCAACTAGGTAAATATTCGAGGGAAGGAAAGCCGAGACCAACAAAAGTAACCTTTGAGAGAGGGGAGACATGTAGGGAAATATTGTTGAGAAAAAAAAGTCTAAAAGACCTTCAAGAATGCAAAGAAGTGTTCATTAGACGATACAGAACACAGGAAGAGATGGGAAAGATCAAAAACTTGTTGCAAGAGGCAAGAAGGTTAAATGATGAAAGAAATGAAGAAGAGAAGAAAAATTTTCGTTACAGAATACTTCCAGACAAAGGGGAGATAAAGAAGATAATGACAGAAGATCAGGGGATGGGGCCTCATTAAGATTGTTATACACAAATGCTGATGGATTAGCTGGTAAGGCAGTAGAATTAAAAGATAGGATTCACAACAGTAAGGCAGATATAGTAGCAATTACAGAGACTAAGTTGAGTGAGGACATAAACAGTGTCACAGTTTTTCCTAAGGGCTTCAGAATACTAAGGGTCGAAAGATCTGAGAGGACTGGTGGAGGGATAGCACTGCTCATAAGTGAGAGGATTCAAGTTGAAGAAATAAACTTGGCTATAGAAAGTGAGTTCAGGGAATTTCTTGTTGCTCGCATAAATACTGGGTCAGAGAGCATTATAATAACTGTTGTATACAACCCACCAAGGAACCAAAATAGGCTTGAAATTTATGAGGAAAGTCATATAGGTACGATTGAAGTCATAAACTCAGTTGTTAACATGGCGCAGGAGAAAAAAGTAGGATTTTGATTATGGGAGACTTTAATCATAAAGAGATAGATTGGATAAATCTTGACCCACACAGTGGTGAGGACTCATTTGGGGCAAGATTCCTAGATTGCGTACAAGGGAATTTCCTACACCAACATGTAATGGAACCAACAAGAGCCAGGGGTGGGGATGAGCCATCAATACTTGATCTGGTGTTCACAGATAATGTGTTGGATATTGAAAATATTGAGTATGAACCACCAATTGGAAAGAGTGACCACTGTGTGTTGTTGATGGAGTATATCATTGAAGACATTCTTCCTGAGAGTAGAGGCACTGAGGACATGAGGAGGAACTATCCGAAAGGAGATTACATCAAAATGAATGAGCTTTTTGCAGTTATTGACTGGAGAACCTTATTTTACAACAAATCTGTACAAGAAATGTATGACATCTTTTGTGAGAAATATGGGAAGATAGTAGATTGCTGCATACCTGTCACCAAAGTAGGTGTAATTCATGCCAGAGAGAAATGGTTCGATAATGGGTGTAAAAGAGCTAAGGAGTGGAGAGACAAATGCTGGAAAAGGTATAGGAGGAGAAAAAACCTAAATGCCTGGCAAACCTACAAAAGAGCAAGAAATGACTACCTAAGTAAAAGGAGAGAGGCAGAGAGAGATTATGAGAGGGACATCACCAGGAAGGCTAAAGAAAATCCCAAGCTTTTCCACAGCTTTATCAGAGGAAAACTGAAGGTAAAAGAACAGGTTTTAAGGCTAAAGAGAGCGGATGGAAGCATCACTGAGACGGACGAAGAGATCTGCAAAGAATTGAACAAGGAGTTTCAGTCAGTATTTACAGTAGAAAATACCCCACCCCCTCAGATTGCAGTGATAGAAGCTCAAGGGCCGGTACTAGAGAACATCAACCTTACAGCCACAGAGGTATGCAAAGCGCTGATGGATTTAGATGTTCATAAAGCTACAGGTCCTGATGACATATCCCCTCATGTGCTTAAAAAATGCGCAAACACAATATCAGTGGCACTAAGTATCATATTTAAGGAGTCACTGGAGTCGGGGGAGATTCCAAGATGCTGGAAACAAGCAAATGTGATACCTATCTTCAAAAAGGGAAGGAGGGATACGGCTCTGAACTATAGACCAGTTTCCTTGACCAGCATAGTTTGCAAACTTATGGAGAAACTACTAAGGAAACATATCTCTCTTCACTTGGAATCCTTCAACTTTTTGTCAGTGAGGCAACATGGCTTCAGAGAAGGAAGATCAACAGTAACAAACTTATTAGAATTTTATGATGAGGTAAGCCAAATCTTACAGGAAAGAGAGGGCTGGGCAGATTGCATATTCCTAGACTTCCAGAAAGCGTTTGACACTGTTCCACATGGGAGACTTATTAGGAAGCTGCAATCAATGGCTAGAATAGGTGGAAATGTCTTGGAATGGATAAAAACTTACTTAGAAGGAAGGGAACAGAGGGTTAGAGTAAGACACTCAGTGTCTGAATGGAGAAGAGTTAGTAGTGGAGTTCCACAGGGTTCAGTTTTAGGGCCACTTTTGTTCCTTGTATATGTAAATGACCTACCAGAGTCTGTAAATTCATTCATGAATATGTTTGCAGATGATGCAAAGATTGTGAAGAAAGTAAAAAACGAGAACAATGGTAGAGAACTTCAGGAGGATCTAAATAATCTGCATGAGTGGTCAGAAAAGTGGCTAATGAAATTCAATACCTCAAAATGTAAGGTAATGAGAATGGGTACAAGTGCAAGAAGGCCCAAGCTTGACTACTCGGTGGCTGGAGTACAACTTCAAGAGACAGAAAATGAGAGAGATCTAGGAGTAAACATACTGGCAGATTTGTCTCCAGAAATACATATAAATGGCGTAGTAAGGGCAGCATATGCATTCTTATCAAACGTAAGGGTAGCCTTCAGGCACATGGACAAGGAAATGTTCAGAAATATTTATGTAACCTATGTGAGGCCAAAACTCGAATATGCAGCCCCCTTTTGGAATCCGCACTTGAAAAAGCACATAGCTAAGCTTGAAAAAGTTCAAAGACATGCCACGAAACTGGTGCCAGAAATACGCAATCTCGGTTATGATGAGAGGCTGAGGGAATTAGACTTGCCATCACTCGAAGCTAGAAGAGTAAGGGGGGATATGGTGACAGTCTTTAAATTCCTTCATGGTTATGATAGAGTGGATAGGGATCGATATTTCGATATGGCTGGCTCTAGAACTAGAGGTCATAGTTTGAAGCTTCGGAAGAAAACTTGTTTGCAGGATGTAAGGAAATACTTTTTCAGTGTAAGAGTAGTTGATAATTGGAATTCGCTAAGCGAGGAGGTAGTTAATGCTATCTCAATCCATAGTTTTAAGGACAGGTATGATAAGTATCACTAAGTCTAAAAATGGAACCGATCAGGAGACGGGAAGATACGAGCTTTGGGCTCTTTCCCGTAAACACAATTAGGTAATCACAATTAGGTAATCACCACTCTAGCCATTTTCTCCTCTTAATGGTATGTGTCTCTTCATGGACATGTTCTTTGACTGCCTGGAGGGTGCGGTAGGAGTCATCAGTGCGACATTTTCTGTGCATTTTCAGGTTGTGGAAGAGCCGGGAGGATGGGCTGTGGCACTCCAGCAGTGCCATCTGAACGGTCGCTAGCTCCCTCGTCATTGCCCATAGAGCAAAGTAATCCCCCTATTTGTTTTCCTTTCTTGATGTCGGCTACCCCCCAATTAAAGGGGGAAACAGCCAAGGTATATGTATGTATGTATGTTTCTGGATGACGTTGAGCCGGTGATTGAGTTCTTTAACTCTGTCACAGTAGTACCATCTGTCACGATGAGTTGTGTGTTGTGGCATACAGAAGGGGATGGAAGAGTTTGCTGCAGCTTGCAGGGCATTGAATAGCTCGGCCTCAGCTTGGTCGATGTCTCTGGATGGTGTGTAGGCTGAAAACCAATTGCTGAGGTGCTCCTGGAATCGGCCCCAGTCGGCCTTCTTGAAATTCCATCGAGGGGGAGGAGCAGGGATTTGGAAGATTTCAGGAATTGGCAGCGTGAGATGGCTCCCGTAGTGGTCGCTTGTGACCAGGGGATGAACTCTCCATGTGGCGTCTTGCCTTAGGGAGTTGGAGACAAAGGTGAGGTCTGTATTCCACCTTTGTCATGAGTTGGCTCATGATTGTTGAGAAGGGTGACGTCTTCTTGGTCGTCCAGCGGGCTCACGATGTGTCCAGAATAGACACATAATGTAATTTTAGGTGCTTAATATTGGATTGAGGTTAGATCAGATTAAGTTATCTTAACCTTACCAATCGTGTGCCTAACGTAGCATAACCTAATCTTACCTATCTCAGTCCCAGATTAAGCACCTGAAAATTATATGAGGTGACTATTCCTGGATTGATTCCGCATTTCTTTTGCTTTATTTAACGAGTCAATTATATTATGGCAATAATCAATAATTGCCATAAATATGGCTCTGATAACTAATGTAGAGCAAATATTTGTATATTAGAGGGAGTGCTTGAGTACACATGTCCCCATGTACATGTACAGACTTCTCTCATATATATAAATGCTTATTTGATTATGCAAATACATAACAAAGAAGAGGAACATACAGAATTTATGAAATTAAGAGATATTGTGAAAGAGCAAGACGAAGAGAGAGGGAGAGCAAATAATAATAATAATAATAATAATAAATGACTGATTGACTCCGGGTACCAGCAATCAAAAGCCACATACAGTCAGTAAGACTTAGTTTATCTTAAGCACAAACCCTCAATTAGTGTCCGAATGAGCGAGAGGGTGGGGTGTACCATTTGGGCGAATCTTCATATTCTGCCTTTTTTTTTTCATTATTATTATACAGTATTTAGAAATAGAACTGCAGGAGTTGCATTGAAAAGAATGAGTGTCTTTTCCCACCAAAGACATAAACCAACTTTTAAAACACATTCCCACTGGTTATAGCCAAGGGAATAATTTATCTGAATATATGTATCAACTGGATGTGAGTCAAGCATCCAGGAACTGAATTACTTTTCACGTCTTTGTTGTTTTTCCTTTAGTGGCTAGAAGGTTTTATTTAGGGCTTTCGATTATCCTTCTTTAATTCTGTCCTATCAAACTTTGCTCATTCCTATATGCTTCAACAACCAGACAGAAGATTAAATTTTAATGTGAGTTATTTTTTTCCAGCATTCATGATCCTCATCATTTACATAATTATTTACACTCTAGATGGTGTAATGGTTATCACACTCGGGTCACAATCGAGGGAGTTAGGGTTCGAATCCGGGTCGAATAAAAAACTTGGGCAGGTTTCTTCACTCTCAACTGTTTCTGTTCACCTTTCATCGCATTTAGATTCTTGGTCACTATTCTGGCATACTTTTTTCCCATGATAAAGCCGTTTAACACACACCAAGTGGTCCTGTCACAGAGGCACTGTGTAGAGATGTGTAGCTCACAGATTGGCCAATACAGTGACTGCTTCCTTCCTTCTACCTCCAGACTCTGGAACTCTCTTCCTCCTTCTGTCCTCCCTAACTCTTATGACCTCTCTTCCTTCAAAGCAGTTATTTATCGTCATCTCAAGGCCTAGTCCTGCCATACTTTTCGATCTTCATTACTTTGAACAATGTATATGACCTGCGGGAGTCTGTAAATGCATTTTTAAATGTTTGCATGTTTCCCACATTTACATACATGAGCCATTTCCCCCCTTGAAAGGGTAGTGGCTGAGTCAAGGCAGGATACCCTGACTCATTATGAAGAGAAAATACAGAGGAGGAGATTCCCAGTCCCCTCGCTCCGCCCCATTTATTCGACTTTTACGACACGCAGGGGAGCACAGAAGAGGCTAATGAGGCAAGAGACAAAATTATCTTCCGTTTTACGTGTCATCATTACTCCCCATTCGAAAGAATGGCCTCTTGAAGATGATAAGAAATATATAATTATTTCAGCAGTAATGAAATTTGTTCTGCTGTGATGGAGAGTTTTAGATTTGTAGTACTTCACAGGTGTGTTGTCCATTAATAATTTACTTAGTAGTATTTCCTAAGAAATTATGTTATTTTCTTAGTTGTTATGTTTTTGCACGTAACTGAAGAAGAAATCCCGACTCATGGTCTGACCAAGATTCTTCGTGTCCTGTATAAACGGAAAGAAGAAGAAGAAGAGGCAAGGTGATAATACGTCTTTTGAAAAGGTAAAGAACTGAAAGCACTTATCAGTTGATCTTCATCCCAGAAGGTTACTTATGCTGCTAAAAGTATCAGTGGTAAGTTCTGTAGTATATCTTATAATAATAAGACTCTCTATCTCTTGGTATCATGGTTTGATATGAACTGCCGTGCCAGAAGGTGTTCTTGGATAAGATTAGTTTTGTGCACCCCTCCATAACTAATACCTCATCTAATAGTAATTATCTTTCATATATGTTTAATGCTTACGTCGCACATTACTGTAAATTTGTTACAGTGGTAAAAATCACGCAAAGTTTTGGTTTGTATTATGTTTAAACTATACACCCTAATTTACCCTATTAAGGTACGTAACTAAGCTAACTCGTAAATTCTTACAGTTGGGCCGTCTCTATTCACTTGTGAAAATTATATTATTTCTATGGATTTTTTTTATGCATTTTGAATGAATATGACCATGAAAATAGCCGGTAAAGTATGCTAACCTAACACAATGTCTTCAGGGAGACTATTCCAGTGGTTTACAATTCTTGAATTAAAATTGTTCCTCTTGGTGGTTCGGTGTCTGAATTTTACCAGCTTCAGGCTGTGTCCTCTGGTATTTGGCCTGTCCCCTGCTGCTGCAACGTGCAGAAAGTGACCTTCTTTGACTGAGTCGATACCGTGGAGTACTTTATAGGTTTGGATTATGTTGCCCTGTATTCTTCTTTCTACCAGTGTGGTAAGTCCAAGACAGGTCAATCTCTCCTCATATGGTAATTCAGATAGTTCAGGGACTAACTTTGTGGTGTGCCATTGCACTTGTTCAAGCTTGTTAATATCTCGACGGGTATGGGCCCCACGCCTGGATATTTTATTCCAGCCAGGGTCTAATCAGAGACTTGTACAATGGAAGGAACATATCCTTGTCCAGAAAGGTGTATGTTTTTCTACCCACCATGGAATTTGCAATGGCCGCTGCCTTAGCTATTTGTAGTGTCGGCTTTAAGTTTGGGGTAACATATACACTTAGGTCCTTTTCTTCCTTAGTGACGATTAGTGGAGTGTTGCCCATATACTGCAATACTGGTTCTCGGGATTTCTCCTTACTACATGCATCACCTTACACTTTTCCTCATTGAAATTAAGGAGCCACCGTCCGCTCCACTCTAGTAGTCTTCAAATATCTTCCTGAAGTATATCTCCATCTGTAGGCGTCCTGATTCTTCTAAATAGTTTGGCATCGTCGGCAAAAACCTTACTACTGGACTGCTCTCTCTCATTGGAATTCTTTTTTCTTACTGTAATCTTACGTATATCTTGACCAAGGCTGCAATAACTCAGTAGTAGAGGTATTACAAATTTCTAATTTACCCTTTTTTTTTTTTTTTCTCATAAGTGTCAGTCATCATAAATCGTGCACGCCGTAAGTTGAAGACCACCTATTCTTTAAATCATGCCTAGCTTTTTGTGCTGTCTTTAAAGTGTACCTAATACAAATTAAATTCTGTTTAAAAGCATGTTGTTATAATGTATTTTTTAGGAACAAATAGCTACAATTTATTTATTTATTTATTTTATATATATATATAAATATATATATATATATATATATATATATATATATATATATATATATATATATATATATATATATATATATATTCCGACTTTGTATCTTTAAGGCCGCATCATTCTAAACTTGATAAGATGTAGGTTGACCATTCTTTAATTTCAGATATTAGCAGTTTTAATTTTTTTTTTCTCACGTACTGCCAATTTAGAATGATATTACTTTTTATAAATATCATGTATATTTGTAAACAGTGACAAATTTAATGCATTTAAAGATGATACTCTGAAAATTTAATACTGTGCAGCATAGAGATACAGCAGCATAAACTGGGAGTATATCTGAAAAATATTTATAGATAATTTCCAAAAGAAATTATGTGTACTACTAAGCTTATAATCTTAGACTATTCTTAGACGTACCCTAGGCTCTCATGGAATGCAAAAACTGGCAACTAGTTCAATATTTATGTAATCGAAAGTGCTTTAATCTGTTGAAAGAATAAAATCACACAGCAAACTTTCTATAGAACTTTTCATACAGTTTATGAATTATGTAAAATATAAATAAATGATAGTTAAGTACTGTATAAGATTTGATAATACATTGCAAGTGTCAAGGTCTTAAGGTATATTTAACTCCATTTATTATAGCACAGTCCTTCTTGGGACTGCCGAAAGAAATACACACTTATACAATATCCCTGCATTATCTGTTGTAAAAAGTGACTAAGATGTGTAGGGAAGCAATAGGCTGGCAATCCCTTCCAAATTTTACCCCTACAGACAAAAGAGGCAAGGATCTTTAGGGTATGGTGAATCCCTGTTGACTCCTTTTCTTTCTTCAGTTGTGACCATGCTGCTTGGCATTATATTGAAAAAATAATTACATTGCTGCACTTCTTATGCAGATTTCAGTTGAGTGCTCTGTTAAGAGCCCATGTTTATGTTCATCTGTATGAACAGCATCCTGTATTGTATGCTTGTTGTTTGCAACATGTTACTGAATTTTTTGCACTGTTTTAGGCTTCATACTTCACTTCAGTATCATACTGTAATTACAGTGTTAATATTCTGATATATTAGAGCTTATGAGTGTTATATTTTTTATTTCCATTTCTGAATTGCTGTTTAGTAGATGTTGACTCTAAAGTAGATTGCATTTCTCCACAGATGAACGTACTCAATTGGAATGCTGGGATTCGAGGGGTCAAGAAGACCTGGTGTATACTGTTTTTGGTAACTATCGTGAAATTGTCAGGATTCTGCTCCAAGCTTAAGCAAGTACAAAAATGTATTCCTAATCACAATGCTGCTACAAGGTATCCTGAGCAATGAGCAGCATTTTATATATAAAATTACTTTCATTATCAGTTACAACCAGCAAAACTGGGTCACCCTGTATTGGGTATTTATCCTCTCTTTCAAAATATAATGTGAGGATTATGGTAGCCAATTGCTTAGAATGTCGACTTGGGAGTTGACAGACCCACGATCGAGCCCTCTGTGGGGTGCTAGGAAAAGCATCAGCCTAAATTCCCCAGCCAAGCTCTCTGTGTTTCCACCCCATATTGGGTGTAAATAGTGATGAGTAAAATGCAAACACACACATCCACATAAAATATGAAAGTGTTGTGTGCATCCAGCTTATTTAGTTTACATATCTTCACACGGAATTCCATTCCAGCAGTCATGTCAATTTCATTAAAAGATCACTGTACTGACCTTTGTATTTTCAGTAAAAATCCGTGGACATTTGATTAATCACTTTTAAATCTCCTGTAGTTCAAAGGCATTATAAGCTGATCAGTCTGTTTTCAGAGTGGAAACCAAACACTCCATTTTTAATAGGTACAAGGTACCTTTTCATGTTTTAATACAAATTTTATGAAATACCAAAGCTATCTTACGACTCCAGATTAGACCCAACCAAGGCTTCATAATCTCTATGCTTATACTAATGTATTGTGACTTCTAACTGTCAAACTCGAATGTTTTTCATTATTTTGAAGAAATACCCATAGAGAAAGACTGCTAAAGATAGATGATGAGAGAGAATATGTAGTCCTTTTCATGCACAATAATAGACACGTTGATTATGGATTTCTATTAACTTTCAGTGAGGTAGAGTCTTCAGCATAGCTGAAATGTGCATTACAGTAAATTAATATAGATATGTTTCTCTCTGAATTATATATCTCCCAGAACAGTACAATTTTTTGCCATAGATATTAGTGTAACCAGTATTAAGTTGTACCTAGCAGTATCAAAGGTGTATTTGTTATGGTTAATTATTACTTACTGATAATGTATTTTCTGCTTGTCGAGCAGCCTTGTGATAGGGATGATCCTTCAGATGAAGGTCACACCGCTGTGTTGTGGGCTGCAGCCAGAAGCGAAGAATTATCCATTACAGACATGGAGAATCTTTTATCTAAGCTAATCTGAGAGGCTGTATTCCTCTTTATATAGTTGCAGTAACTGGCATGTCTCCACATTAGTAGTTTTGCTTCATTAATGTACACTTCCTGACATGTCTGTGTCAGAT